TAATTGTTTATTTCTATTTTTTAATATTTTTATTTTTTAGTTACATTCTGTAGGGATTTAAAGTTTAACATATCAATACTTGATTGAAAATACCCATTCCATGTTATGTCTAAGATGTTTGATATTCAGATAGCGATGTTAAGCTCAACTGCCTATGTTATAGGGTAATAATATCATTAAGCTTCTCTTCTTGAGGGTTAACAACTTAAGTTTGCAAAACAAATATTAGAGAAAAGGAAGGGCTACAAGGATAGCCAACATTTTGGCCCTAGCCTTTCAAGGCCAGTGAGAACTTAGGACATAAAAGAACCTGTACTGTAACATCCTGTAACTCAGTGGTGTCTCAAATTTTCTGATCAAGGAGATTATGGGGCCACAGAGGAAAGTGATTGATGATGTATAATGTGCCTAACAAGAGTCACCTAGAGAGAAAACATTCTCTCAGGCTTTCACAGAGAACAAACTGGTCAAGCAATGGCCATGATTCATCCACATGGCTGACACTGACAAAGGATCTACAAACTGAGGTACAGGGTTTCAGGCTAAATCCTGAGGGGATCTGACTGACCTTGTCAGATACAAAAGTTACATTTCTTGTTATATAGGTCTTGCTTTATCTTGGTCTTAACCATCCAGCAGAAAAGTATAACAACAAGGTATAAAAAGTAAAGCCACATTAATATTAATATGCTAAGTTGTAAAAGGCTCAAGTCAACAACTTCTGACATTGCCAGTCCTACAGATAACACACTACAATTATGGACTACTGGACTGTATTGGAATATTTTGCTTAATTCATGCACCTACAATATTTAAATGGCAATGTAATACCATCTCTGACAAAACTAAACAAAAAAGGGGGATATAAATGAAGTACATTTTGTAGTGAAATATACATATATATGCATATATATATATATATGTTTATACAAAATAAGAAAGATATACAGCTACTTTCTCTTAATTTCAGTGAGAAAAAAGATTTGTATTAATAGTGTTTGGACATATCATGTCTGCATCTTGTACTGTGAATAACTACTACAAAGATGACAATATGCAATGTATTAATTATTGTAACTATCCTACTAACCTGTTCTGAAACTGTCTC